TTTTCCTTGGCACCGTATGAATAACTTCAATAACTTAACTAAACTAAAAAATAATAATTCAACTCTCGGCAAAGGTAGTCGTTATCCCTAAGCCGAACAAAACGACAGCCCAAAAGCAGACCTCTAGCGGCTGGCGACCGATAGCGCTGCTTAGTACGATAGGGAAGGTGATAGAGGCGGTGATATGCCAGCGTATCACTACCGTCGCGGAGACGGCCGGTCTGCTACCAAACGGCCAAATGGGTAACCGAAAGGGGCGGTCCACCGAATTAGCGATACGTATAGTCGAGGACGTAACCTATACAGCTTGGAGGCGCGGAGGGATCGCCACACTACTACAACTTGATATTAAGGGGGCGTTCGACACACTTAACCACAGGCGTTTGATTTCTATACTAGCCCGGAAGGGCTACCCGGAGTGGGTTCAGGAATGGGTACACAGCTTCGTAGAGGATAGGACAGTACGCCTCCGGTTCGACGGTAAGGAGTCAGAGCTGATCCCTCTACGAGCTGGCGTCCCCCAGGGGTCGCCACTCTCCCCGATACTATTTATCCTATATATCTCGACGCTATATGAGGAACTAGCGGAGAAACACCCCCTACTCTTAGTCGTAGGGTTCGCGGACGATACGAACCTACTTAGCGTGAGCACAGACACGGGCACGACCTGCCGCCGACTAGAAGACGCTTGGGCAACGTGCCAACGGTGGGCCGCCAGGCACGGGATGGAGTTCGCTCCGGACAAGAGTGAGCTGATGCACTTCACTAGAACCTGAGACCCCTCCCCGCAGAGTATCCGTCTTGGAAACGCTACAGTAACGCCGAAGGTCTCGGCAAGGTTCCTAGGGGTCTGGTTTGACCGCAAATTAACGTGGCACGCCCATACCGAACGGGTTAAATCAAAAACGGCTACGGAATAACGGCAAAAGGAGCCTGCTTCGGAGCGCGAGCGCGAGAGCGTCACACATACTCCGACAGGATACGCCGGCGAGACGGAAGCGGGCGTCACAATCGCTCAGACCAGCGGGGTACACGATAGAGAAGGAGGCTAGGGGCTCCGAGTGGATAGGCAAGGCGAAGGAAGTCCCGGCCGCCCTCCTAGACCACTGGGAGAAGAGATGGCTCTCCAGGGCAGCACAACACGACCGCCAGCGACGCGCTATCGCCGACGATCAGGAGGGCCCCTCGATGCGAATGCCGAAACAGGGCAAGTACTCAGACCTAAACCGACCGGAGGCGTCTACCCTATGCCAGATCAGGACCGGGAAAATAGGACTATCAGCTTTCTTATTTAAGATAGGAGCCTTCGGTGTGTACTCGCCGTTATGCCGCTGTGGAGAGGCCCCCGAGACGGCAGAGCACGTAATCCTCTTTTGCGGCCTGCTGGAAGAATCGAGAGAGCGCCTACGGGCCACTATCGCACCATGGCCGCTGCATACACGTAGAGACCTGGCAACGGCGACGGGGAAACCAGTAGTCAGCGGGACTATCACAAGGTGGCTACTCAGGACTGGCCGGATAGCGCTTAGGCCCGGATAATATCGATCTTCTCAGGGGGACTTTGTTAGTAGGGTGAGAACTAACATAGTATTGTGGTGGACGTAACGCAGTCGCTAATAGAGCGAACCTACGTAGCAGCGTATGTATTTAGTCCAGCCATTAGGGCACGGTTTGACATACGGGAGCACTTGTAGAGGTACCGGGGGCTTCGAGCCTACGGCGTATTTAATAATAAAAATAATAATTCAACTAATCGGAATCCTCTTCCTCGTACGTATCTTTATCATTCTCACAAGTACGAGCATTATGTCCGGGCTCTCCGCAGATCCTACAGCGCCGTCGGCGTGGTTCGGCCGGTCTCGTACGACGACGACTTACACGTATATCATCCTGTAGCTGCTGTGCAATATCCCGTTGAGACTGTAAGTCCTGAGCGTCTCGTAAACTAAGAGATTCTCCATCTTGTACCTGTCTATTTTTAGTCCTTCGACGACGGCTTAGCTCTTGATTGGCCTTCCGAAGTGTAGTAACCTCATCCTCAAGTAAAACTAACCGATGCATAACAGCCGTCGCACCACGTGAACATTGGTCAATAGCCGTAAGTATTGTCGTCGGGGAGCTATTCTGATGCTGTACGATTCTGTTTTTAATGTATTCAGACTGGGATTGCGCCTCTGTTGGGTTATTTGGAGTCTTTGATTCCCAGATTAAGGGGGTGCCAGACGAGCTCCCAGGAGGTGTAGGCGTATGTAGCTTAATATCCAGCTGTGAAATCACATATTCCGGGTCGTACGGAATAAGTCCTGTCCCCCTGAAACCTGCCTGGATATTCGACTTAGTTATAGTCGTACGATACGCCCTATAGAATGCCGAAAAGAAATCCTCCTTCGAGATATGGGTCATATGCGCCCGTATTAGGTCTTCAATTTCTTTGCCGTACGACCGTTTCAAAGCCCTAAAACAGCCTACATCGAGAGACTGGAGCTTATGTGACGAATGAGCAGGCATACTAAGTGTAATAATAGTATGCTCTTTGCAATATAGCTCGAAGTCAGTCGAGTGGTGGCTCTCATGCCCGTCGACGATAAGAAGACGATAAACACCCTTCGTACGATCCTTCGTATAGCGATCAAAGCGCTAAATCCAGTCTACGCCTCGCTCATTTGTTGTCCAACCGTTTTTAGTTACAGCGATTGCCTAATCGGACGGGAATGGGCTATTCTCGTACTAAGATAAGAGGTGGTTTTAACCCGCGACAATAATATACGGCGGGATAGCCCAGCCGGACGAATTAATACCCTGGATTACTGTAGCCCATTCTCGATTACCTTGTTGGACTGTACGAGGCCTTCCGCGTCATTCGGCACTTGTAACTACCATGTTACGAATCTACGATTCTAACCAACGCAACAGGCCCGATGGCAGGCCCAGTGGATACAGGACAAAGAAGGAGGGGAAAGTCACACAGGAGTGGCTAGCTGCAGGAGGAGCCAGCTAGTGCAAGGATCACAAGTCATGTGACTTACAAGGGTGGATCATTTGGATATGGAATGATCCAACATATCCAGTTAGGACCAATAGTATCCATGAAGGATCTAATGGCCCCAGTTATCAGTGAAGGAGGGAATGGATATATAAGGGACAGGACTCCCAGGCATTTCATAGATAGACAGTCTCTACTTCAGTGATCAATCTAAGCATCGATCTAACCCATTGGTGAGGCAAACTGCCTTGACGACTCTATTCCCAGTTACCCTACTTGAATACTTCAGTTACCCCAAAGCACTATACTCCATACGTCAGACCCCGATATTATTGCTAAGGACTCCGCAGCAGGACTTACTCACTAGCACAAACCCTTACAGACTCTTTAGTGGTTTACGCAGCTAGACTATTAGAGGTTTCGTTACATACCATCTCGGGTGAGATTAAGCCCATCGCGAACCCTGTCTCGTCGAAGTTACAGATATCCGCGCCTCTTGGATACCATATTTCGCAATTGTATTTCGTACGAGCGTAAACCACGCGCGATACGCGTCAGGATCTTCGCAATAGGCTCCTTGGTAGTCGATTCTTTGATTAAAACGCGTCCGAAGGTCTGGTTGTCGTCGTACGAAGTTCGAGGCCCATTTGACGCCGACGCTCCAGCGCCACGGTCACGGAGCAGTCGGTTAGCCATAGCTTCAACGCCATAGAGCCGGGGAGGAAATGATCGCGAATCTAGGTCAAGTATGTATTATACGACCGCTAACTCTTCTGATTCCGTAAGCTTATGACTAGATTGTCGAGTATCGCGTCGAGATAGTAGTCCGCGTTTTCGGTTAGCTAGAGTTGTGCGAGGGACATTGTAGAGTTGGGCAGCGCGTCGGATGCTTAATTCGGGTTTCGATCAAAGCGCCTGACACACTAGAATCATGTCGCTTTCTTTCCAATTCGATCCCATCTTGGTATGTGTAAAGATGTTAATTAAAAGGTTGTTCGTACGGTGCCAAGAAAAAGTGGCCAACTTGCTTGTGGGGTACGTTATTTCGTTACGAATCTACCGAGGTAAACTATAGTATATAGTATATTAGCTAGGCGTTAATCCGGACGATATATAGTATAATATGAGAGTATTTCAGGAGGCTAGACCGTTAGTATGGTTAGTATATTAGTAGAAAGCCTTGGAAGCGGGCTGCGATAACCCTAATCATCTTAAGGATAATAAGCTACTCTAGAGGGGGACTAACCGATAGCGTTAGCGGAGGTCGAAGAAGTAAGGATACGGCTAATATTCAAGGGTTGCGGGCGCCTCTCTTCCAAGGGAGAGGGAGGGGGGTAATGTAAAGCTAGTCACGATACCTAGCCCTTAGACGAGGAATAGGAACACCCTAGTATAGATATCCTACCCGTAAGCGTCCGTACTCTTCCTTATATTAGAGGAAAGGGTACCTATACTTAGAACCTTTTTTCTTTATTCTTCAGTTTAGGATTCTTCAATGGAGCTATCATAGACTAGTATCGTAACCTTGATCCGAACTCGCGTGCCTCTGCCTTATCACACTAGTTGATTTTACTTAAGGTTATTACACTTCGGAAGGCTAATTAAGAGCTAAGTTGTCATCGAAGGACAACAAAACGACAGCTATACAATAGAGGATCTCTTATTTTACGAGAGCTTAGGACCTCTGGTCTTAACGGGGGATTAATTAGTAGCTATAGGATAATCAACGTGTAAGTCGTTGTTGTACGAGAACGGTTGAACCACGCCGATAGCGCTGTAGGATCTACGAAGAGCCCGGACATAATGGTCATACTTATTAGAATAATAAAGATGTGACGAGGAAGAGAATTCTGATTAGTTTGAAATGACTTTTACTTTTATTATAGTCAGGTTATTGAAGTTATTCGTACGGTGACAAGACACAGTAGCCAATTTTCTTGTGTGGTACGTTAGCCGTAGATTAGCCGGACATAAAATATTTTGGCACCTGCGCTAGCTACTTAAATCACAACTTCACCTCGAACACTTGAAAATTCGGAAGCATATTTGACATGGTGATAACAACGATGCTCCTCGTCCGGCACGGGCACCGGCTATCGTGGATACTGGACCCAGTGACTGGCAAGTACAGCTCGCTTCACACGTTCCCGAGCGGACTGCCAGCGGACCCCCCGCTCGCGTCGCATGGAGTACGTCAGGCACGCGAGACCAGCATCTACTTGGACAAGGAACTGGCCGAAGTGGCTCAACAAGGCCGACTTCGTATCTACTCGAGCTTGTTCTACCGGTGCCTTGAGACGCTGAGACCGACGGTGGAACGGCTGACTTATCATGACGCCGGCTTGGCAGTGCGCGGGGAGCGAGGAATTGGCGAATGGTTTGGTAAGGCGCCGTTCTCACAGCCCACGCCTGAGCTGCCTTCCCAGCTCAAAGCCAAATTCTTCCCTTGGGTCGACGACACATACGAGTCAAGGGTGGTGCCGGATCATCATGGAGAACGCATCGACAAACTGCACGATCGCATCGCCTTGGCCCTCAGCACCATCGTCGAGGACGTCGATGCCGAGTTCAACGCAGCTGGCCGTGGTGATGACAGTGTTACATTAGTCCTCTCAACACATGCCGCGCCCATCATTGCTATGGGGAGAGTGCTAACGGGTTATATGCCTGATGATGTCAATCACCAGGATTTCAAGTGCTACACCTGTGGCATTAGCAAGTTCGTACGCCGAAACACCCAAGCTGAGACCGGCGGTTCCGAGCACTGGAGGACCAACAAGGGAGTCGCTGGTGGGTGGGATTGCGTGGCCAATAGTGACTGTAGTCATCTGAGCCAAGGCGAGGAACGGGGTTGGCATTTCCAAGGTGACGAAACCTTTGACTCATATGGGCCTGGCATGCTCATCACCGAGGACGGTGGAGTCAGCGAAAAGGTTCAGGATACCAATGAGAGCGACTCGAAGCTCTAATGGCCCAGGATCTGTCCTTCAAGTTTGGTATAGATATCCAGCTATCTCAGCCGTATGCATCGCTAGATTGATGGATAGCTACTCCATTGCCTAAGCCAGGCCCTCGATGGATATGCAGAGCACATATGAATAACGACCGGTCAATATAAGCAATCAGGTGGGATCATCAAGTTATGCCGGGTTTAGTACACTGAACTTATGAGCTATCCCATATTATTTCATCCCTGGCGAGCCGTTTATTCTGACACACCCCCTGGAGGCTAAGCACTCTCAGTAAACTTGTCTATCCATGCCTCGATCTGGCCCATGGCATCCAGAGTTTCGTATTTTCTCTGTAGTTCGTCCATCCTCTCCTTGTATTCCCATCTGTTAGTAGCCGATATATCCAGCGTACGAAGCAATGGGTTTACTGTTGCCGAAGGGTTTTTATGCCCATCAAGGTGCCAGTCCATTTGCCTCGCATGGCTGTCTCGGCCATTTCTTCCATGGTAATCACAGGCAGTATTGGCACTCAACGTATGACGGCCTACGTCCAGCCGCCATACCCGCAGTTATACACAAACATGCGGGCTAAGGGGATACCTATCTCATAAGGGAGATATTCGGCAGTGAAAATGTATGTGGGAAGCTCCAGTTCGGAGAGAAGCTTGGCTCCTTTGATGCCCAGGATGGTGACGACCAGAATGTCGGTTCAGCTAGCCAGAGACTGGGTGGTAGGGATCGTGTTCTCGGCATAGTCAACAGCCAGCGATACTTGGGTGACCATGGCCATCTGAGGTGAATATAGGGCAAGACGACGTTCTGTCCAACCTGGGACCACTAATATAGCGGCTGGAACGAGGGGCGAAAGACAGTGCTCAGCGATTCAAATTGATCTTGGGACTGATAGCACAGCGCGTGTACGACATACTCCGACTGCAGACCATGAGGAAGTCATTGGCGTCGGTAGGCAGTCGTCGTTTCTGTTTTCATGGAGATTGGGATGGCTTGACGTTCGGAAGAAGCCACCATCAGGGGCCGTAGACAGGAGTTGCAGCAACAGCAGCATTAGAGTGACGAGAAGGATTCGTGTTCAATTCACCAAGCCCAGGAAACTCGATCATTTCCAGTGAACAATCCATGTTCTACTCCGGCGGGTTGTACCTCGGTGCCGCACCATCTCAGGGTTAATGCCACCTGGAGTATACCTAATCGCCCGAGGCCAAGTCCGTTTTAATCAAAATGCGTTAACGCGATCTATAAGTTAATTAATCACCTAAGTCACTCGTACACTTTATAAATATTATATTATTACTAAGATAATTTCACTATAATATATCTTAATTAATTAGAATCCTCTTTATTACATATTTCTAATTATATCTAATAACGTCGTATATTATACCGCGACCTGGCTATTCACCACCACGAGCAACACAACTTGGACTGAACAGCAAGGAAAAAACTGGAGATTTCTGACTTTCATCGATAACTTCTTCGAACAGAGTTTTCACCACCCCCACGCCAACGAAAGTGCCCACGCACCGAACGTGGAGCGCACCAGCAGAAAGAACGCAGAGAGGGAAGGGATCGAAAGAGAACTACAAAGGGTAGAACAAGAGATTGCCGACTTGGTCCCACGTGAGAAGATTGAGGTCATGGGGGTTTGATGGAGCGTTGGCTGGGGTTGAAACTAGCCGGCAGGACGCTGGAGGAGGGGGGCGACAGACCCGCCACACATGCCGACGTACTGGCAGTGACTCTGGCCCTTGGCGAAATTCCTGCGGCGATCCAGACGATGGTTGAGAAGACCATGCAGGATACGGTGAAGAACGTGGCCTTGCCTACAACTCGATCCTGGGCCTCAATCGCCTCAGGATCGGCCCAGGGACGGGGACCCGGTGAAGCCCCAGTGTGGCAGCAGCGGGTTGTAGTGCCCCAGCGAAGGGAGAGAGAGGTAGTGATCCGGGGGACAGAGGACCCTAATATGAAGAACAGATCGGCGGCTGAGGTCGTAAAAGCGGTGAACAGTGCACGCGGCAGCACCGATGCAGTGGCGGCCCGCAGGCTGCGCAGTGGCGATACCGTAATGACGTTTAAGCAGTCGGCCTCAGCGGCGACCACGGACAGCAGGTGGGTGCGTAGTGCTTTCGGCGATAAGGCACTTCTCAACCGCAGAGAAGTTGCAGTGATCGCGAAGGGGCTGCCTGCGAAACGGCTGCGAGAGGTCCACGACGGGACAATACAAAGCACCTCTCTAAGGCTAAAAGAAACCTCCCCCGGGCGCCGCAAGCACCGTATGCGGCCCTGATACTACACGTGGATAGCGTGGAGGCGGCGATGGAACTATGCTCCAAAGGGCTTATTTGGGAGGCCCAGATATTCGATTGCGAGCCGTACGACGGCAATCTTCGGGTTCGGCAGTGCTACCAGTGCTACGAATACGGCCATATCGCGAAACACTGCAAGAAGACGGCGCGTTGCGGCGTCTGCGCTGCAACGGCACACCCAGGGGGTGAAAAAGACTGCCCCGAGAAGGCACCTAGCGGCAAAAAACGTTGTGTGAACTGCAAAGGGAAGCACACGGCGTGGGACAGGGACTGCCCTACGGCAGAACAGCAGCGGCTACGCGTACGCGAGGCGTACGCTCACCGCCCCCGACAATTTGAGGTCCGCAGCTACTCGGACGGGTTATCTAGTGAGGGCAGGCTCACACCACCTAGCTCATTGACCAGCGACGGGTTTACAGTTGTACGACCCCGGGGCCGCCCCCTGGGCGGATCGCGAGTGGAGCAGGAGCGAACCGAACGGTCTGCGTCAGCAATGCGTAGCTTCCTCACTAAGGGACGTACGAACGAAGATATACCATCGACAGCTTAATGGTAGTCTCTATTCTCTACTGGAATATCGCAGATTCAAAGGCGAACGCAACGCTAGCGCTGGATAAGGGGGGTGACTATGATATAATAGCGGTTCAAGAGCCATGGATCAACCGGCGGACGAAGGCGATTTATTGCCCGAAGTCGTCCAGGTACGAAGTAGTGTACAGCAGCGGCAGAGCTGCGCTATACGTCCATAAACGATACGACGTGGCTACGTTGCGACCCCGTACCGGGATGGACTGGAGCAGTATTACGTTCGGGGCAGGCCCGGACGCCCTTACAATCTGGTCTATCTATTCACCAAACCAGACCGGGAGCCGCTGGGTCAGCCCGCTCCAAGACCTCCCTAATGGGGCGCCGGAGGGGACAGTCCTCGTAGGGGACTTCAATACACATCACCCGCTGTGGGACGTTCACGGACGGTCGTCACGGGGCAGCGACAACGTAGTGGAGTTTGCGCGACGCTGGCGATTAGAGCTCGTTACGCCGTTCGGGGAAATCACACGGCAAAGGCACAAACAACGAGACTCAACTATCGACCTAGCCTGGGTGACGAAAGGGGCTAGGATTGATTACGATGGGGACCCGGGCCTAGAGGGCTCAGACCACAGAGCGCAAGTGATTAGGGTAATATCCAACGGGGAAGCAGTCAAGGAGGGCCGCCGCAGTGTCGAAGGGTGGAACTGGGCGATGGCGGATAAGTGGCTCATCGTAGCCGAATCAAGCCAGAGATTTATGAATTATTTGCCGGTTGAGACGATAACGGAGTTGGACCAGGCTGTTGACTGGGTTATCCGGAACCTCCAAGAGATCGCCGACGTGGCGGTCCCGAGACGCACCGTTGGCCGAGGCGCTGGGGTCCCGTGGTGGTGCCCGCAGGTTAGCAAGGCTTGCACTGAGACGAAGAGACGACGGCGAGACTACCTCCAGGCAAGGTCGCAGACCAACTGGGACGAATATACAAGAGCCGGCCAAAAACAACGGCTCGAAATCAGCGAAGCGCAGACGCGTAGCTGGCACGAGAAGCTCGAGGGGACGGCGAAGGATCACAAAAGCCTGTGGGCACTGCAGAGGTGGGCTAGGCTACGGAGCTGGGCCCCCCCTGAGGCCCACGGCTTGCCAGATCTCCGGACGGACGCCGGCGACACGCTTACGGCACGTACACATGACGAGAAGGCAAAATTACTAGCTGAGAGGTTCTTCCCAGACCCGTGTATAGATCTATCGGACCTCGATCGCGGCCTATTACAGACAAGACCAGAGCTGAACGTCCCTAGGGAGGTGAACACAATGGATATCGAGTCTATCATCAAAGGAACGGCTGCTTGGAAGGCTCCCGGCGACGACCTGATCCCCACTGGCCTGCTAAAGGCCTGCGCTGAACCCCTATGGGAGATCCTAGCGGATCTGGCAACAGCTAGCTTTAGGCTGGGGTACTACCCGGAGCGCTTCCGCTCAGCGAGGGTGGTTGTTATCCCTAAGCCTAATAAAACGACAGCTCAGAAGCAGACCCCTGGCGGCTGGCGCCCCATTGCCCTGCTTAGCACGGTAGGGAAGGTAATAGAGACGGCGATGAGCCAGCGCATCACCAAAGTAGCTGAGGCGGCCGGCCTACTACCAAACGGCCAAATGGGTAACCGCGCTGGGAGGTCCACCGAACTGGCAATACGTATAGTTGAGGACGTGGTCTATACGGCGTGGAGACGCGGGGGCATCGCCTCGCTGCTACAGCTAGACATCAGGGGGGCATTCGATACGGTCAATTACAGACGGCTGATTTCCATATTAGCCCGGAAAGGCTACCCGGAGTGGGTTCAGGAGTGGGTACGCAGCTTCGTGGAGGATAGGACGGTACGCCTCCGGTTCGATGGCAAGGAGTCAGAGCCAATCCCCCTACGAGCTGGCGTCCCCCAGGGGTCACCGCTATCCCCGATACTGTTTATATTATACATTTCAACGCTGTACGAGGAGCTAGCGGAGCAGCACCCACTACTTTTAGTAGTCGGGTTCGCGGACGACACGAACCTGCTAAGCGTCGGCACCGATCCAGACACGATCTGCCGCCGGTTGGAGAGCGCATGGGCTACGTGTCAGCGGTGGGCAGTGAGGCACGGGATGGAGTTCGCTCCTGACAAGAGTGAGCTAATGCACTTTACTAGGGCCCGAGAGCCCTTGCCGCAAAGTATTCGCCTTGGGGACGCCACAGTGTCGCCGGTAGTCTCAGCGAGGTTCCTAGGAGTCTGGTTCGACCGCAAACTGACGTGGCACGCCCATTTTGAGCGTGTTAAAACAAAAATGGCAGCTCAAAAGCTAGCCCTGACAAAGCTAGTCAATATGTCGTGGGGCTGCGATCTCATACGGGCGAGGCTGTTATATATGTCGAATATCACGTGTGTCCAATCGAGTAGTCAGAAGTGCATAAGATTGTATTATGAATGAGGTGTGTTCTTGTCTGTGTTCTATTCTCGCGAACTCCCGTTGCTCTGCCCTTTATAGATTCTTTCGGAAATGTCGGAGGTGCATTGTTCAGGTGTCTGACCCCGAACTTCGGAGTTACTTTCGGGAAGAGGGGTTCCTTTCGCCTTCTGAACTTTAAGTGACAATAGTCTTCTCTAGTGCCATATTATTTCTGAACCTAGGAACCAGGTGCCCTATCTGACAATATACGGTGGTTATCCGTAGCGCGATCGCCTTCGGGGCGACTGCGTGGCATACTATAAGTGAGGAACCGGCAGGGTACACTATGGAGAAGGAGGCCCGGGGCTCCGAGTGGATGAGTGAGGAAAAGGAGGTCCCGGCTGCCCTCCTCGGCCACTGGAGGAAGAGATGGCTCACCGGAGCAGAGCATCACGATCGCCAGCGACGCGCTATCGCTGAGGAATCGGAGCCCTTCGATGCAGATACCGAAAGGAGGCAAGTATTTCGGCCTGAACCGACTGGAGGCGTCTACGCTGTGCCAGATCAGGACGGAAAAAATAGGACTAGCAGCCTTCTTATTCAAGACAGGGGCTTTTGGCGTGTACTCGCCGCTATGCCGCTGTGGCGACGTCCCTGAGACGGCAGAGCACGTAATCCTCTTTTGCGGGCTGTTGGAAGGACCGAGGGAACGATTACGGGCCGCTATCGCACCGCGGCCACTATACTCTCGCAGAGACCTCGCAACGGCAACAGGAGAACCAGTAGTTAGTGGGACTATTGTAAGGTGGCTGCTAGGGACGGGTCGGACAGCTTCAAGGCCCAGATAGCATCGATCTTCTCAGGGGGGACTTTGTTGGTAGGTTGAGAACCAACGTAGTATGGTAGTGAACGCAACGCAGTCGCCAATAGGGCGAACCGACGACGCAGCGTATGTATTTAGTCCAGCCATTAGGGCACGGTTTGACATACGGGAGTACTGGTAGAGGTACCAGGGGCTTCGAGCCTACGGCGTATTTTTAATAATAATATATTCCGCCAACGTAGTGCTTGACGGTCGACTGGCTAGGATGCTCGTAATCCTAAACTGCACCAATCTCCCTATTATCGCTAGGTAGGCGAAGTCAACAAGGTGGGCAGCGCGCCGTAAGGGTTGACTAAACCCCCTTGTGTGTCAGCTGCGGGATTCGAACCCGCGACTCGTCACCGACCCAAGTGGGCGAGGCTCAAATCGGGACTTATCTACCAGCGAAGTGACCAACTACACCAGCCGACACAATAATAATAACAACCAGGGTGAATATACATATAGATAGTTAAAAAGCAGCAATAGATCGTTACCCTTTTTAGACTTAGTGGCTTGGCGGTACCTGACAGGATAGTAAATTTATTGCCACCCACTGTATTATAATTAAGTTGAACTAGTTCGACAAGGTGAAATTAGGTAGCTCGTTAAGGGGTGTGGCCCGCTTATAGGTGGATTACATTATCCGCTAGCGTCGATCAAGGTGTAAAACCAGATGATTACATAGTTCTAGTGAGCTAAAAGGTGTCAAATTTTGTACGAATAGGTGGAATTCAGAATGATACTCAAAATATAACACTGTTGGAACTGTCAGATAGGGCACCTGGTTCCTAGGTTCAGAAATAATATGGCACTAGAGAAGACTATTGTCACTTAAAGTTCAGAAGGCGAAAGGAACCCCTCTTCTCAAAAGTAACACCAAAGTTACCGACATGTTCTAAAGCATCTATAAAAGGCAGAGCAACGGGAGTTCGCGAGAACAGAAGACGGACAGACAAGAACACACCTCATTCATAATACAATCTTATGCACTTCTGACTACTCGATTGGACACACGTGATATTCGACAGGAACCACGATGGACGAATGATGATAGTGCGAGACTGGGACCCCTAGGCCCATGGGTTGGCGATAGCCGGCAACCATGACGTCCCATTGAGATGGTGGATCCGGACTTGGCACGTTTGATGTTTCACCCCAACTCCAGCGACAATTTGGCGTATCAGATGTCGTCTGGACCTGCATTCAGAACCCATTTTGTATTGACTGAGTCGCATTCGCGGTGGCGCAGGGCACCCTGTATCTGCTGGTTGCGAAATGGGATGAAGGGAACAAAACTGGAGGCTGCCCAGAATAGACAACTCCATGGTGTTGATGTTTCTTTACCATACCGCTTGATGCGCCTGCTCTTTAACGGGCCTTCCTTTCTATGACTCTGGATTAGTTGAATTTTTATTCTTTATTTGCACGTATTTCTTGGTCGTTCGTTAGAATACTCACTCAGATACCGACTCGCTACTTCACACAACGCGGCCATTTCAAAATATAATTTTGCTCGTCGATCTCGTTGCGGTATTTGACATCGAACATCAAATCTTTTGAATCTCATTTTCGATATAATATGGTCTACTTTTCCGCGGGCAGGGCGGCCGCCGTGCTGCTTCTGGCGCGAAATGCGGTGGCGGCTCTCGAGCCCATTGTCGCCAAGGTGCGAGCGCCTGACTGAGACTGAAACAACACAATGACAGGACGGATAGCTAATATGGATTCCAGGGGCAATACTTTTTCTACTCATCCAACGGCACCCAATTTTTCATGAGGGGAGTGGCATATCAGCAGGGAGTTGGACTTGGCGGTGGAGCTCAAGACGGTACGACGACTTTCACAGATCCGCTGGCGGACACGGCCAGCTGCCAGCGTGACATTCCGTTGTTGCAGCAGCTGGGCACCAACACGATCCGAGTGTATGCCGTCGACCCCAAGGCCGACCATACGGCTTGCATGACGGCGCTCGATGCAGCGGGCATCTATGTGGTGGCCGACCTGAGCGAGCCGGGCCTGTCCATCGATCGCGATAGCCCGACCTGGAATACCGATTTGTATGCGCGCTACACGAGTGTTATCGACAGTCTGGCCAAATTTCCGAATACTATCGGCTTCTTCGCCGGCAACGAGGTGACTAACAACAAGACCAACAGTGCCGCCTCAGCATTTGTTAAGGCTGCCGTGCGTGATAGCAAGGCCTACATCACCTCGCAGAACTTTGGCCGCTGGCTGGGCGTGGGATATGCCACCAATGATGATGCCGAGACGCGCGACAACTTGGCCGACTATTTTAACTGTGGCAACCAGACTGACGGTGTAGATTTCTGGGGTTACAATATCTATGAGTGGTGTGGTGAGAATACGTTCGCCTCGAGCGGATATCAGGAGCGCACCCAAGCATTTCAGAACTACTCGGTCCCGGCCTTCTTTTCCGAGTACGGATGCAACAATCCCGGTGGCGGTGCGGGCCGCATCTTCCAGGAGACGGGTGCGCTCTACAGCAAGCAGATGAACACTGTCTGGAGTGGTGGCATTGTATACGAGTATTTCCAGGAACAAAACGACTTTGGTGGGTGCCCCTCTCCCGTACCCCTTTTCTGGCCTCAGTTTGTCTCGAGTTAATGACAATCTGATTTTCACATAAAACTGACCTGAATACTACATATATAGGCCTCGTCGACATCACTGGAACTAAAGCTACCCCAAGAAAAGAATTTGCGGCGCTGTCGTCCCAGATCGCAATATCTGGCTACCCGACGGGTATCCAAATGGATTCCTACACGCCCACCAACACGGCCCGCGAGTGCCCCCCGGTCCAGGAAGCCTGGTCTGCGGCGTCGGCCCTGCCCCCGACCCCGAATACGGCCAGCTGCGAGACCATGTTCAACACGCTCTCGTGCGTGCCGTCTGATACCGTCACCGCCAAGGACATGGGTGCCCTCTTCGGCACCGTCTGTGGCATGGATCCAATGGCTTGTACGGGCATAGCCGCTGATACTACCACCGGTACATACGGCGACTTCGCTATGTGTGCCCCGGGTCAACAGCTGGCACTTGTCATGAACCAGTACTATGTCAACCAGGGCTCCGCCGCGTCTGCCTGCGACTTCAACGGCCAGGCCAAACTCGTCACCCCAAGTAATGCCGTGGTCCAAGGCGGCTCTACTGGCTCTACTGGCGCTACTGGCGCTACTGGCTCTTCTGGCACTACTGGCTCTTCTGGCTCTACTGGCTCTACGGGCTCTACGGGCTCTACTAACTCCACAGGCTCTACTGGCGCTACGGGCTCTACGGGCTCTACTGGCGCTACTGGCTCTACTAACTCCACTGGCACCACCGGCAGTGACAGCACCACCAATGCCGATAGCAACATCGGTGGCTCTGATTCCGGCAGCAATACCGAAGGTGCCACCAGCGATAGCCCCAGCACTACCATTGGCGACAATACCAATAGTGCTGTGTCGTCGGTAGTACAAAGCAATGCACAGGGCCATTACGTGCCAGCCTCTTGTCTCGTGGCGTCCGTACTTGCTGCGATGACATTGTTCTAATAGCTCAACAAGGGGGGGTCACAAGCTACAGCCTTAATGGTTCACTAGATTGGATAACAAAGCATGCGAGGCCATCTTCTATGCGGCTGGGAATATTGTACATAATACATCATTAGCATTTGCCGTACATTAAGGTTTGGACCTAAAAAGACATGCTGTAATAGTGCAACGTAGGTAGACAATGTTAATACATTATGTGGGACCCGAAAGAAGAAAACGAATTATTTTTAAAAGAAAATGCTATCTTAACAGTATTTCAACTATCGGTAATGCGATCCACTAGGTTATTAATTACTAAGTAGGACGCAAAAAATAGGACTAGCAGCCTTCTTATTCAAGACAGGGGCTTTTGGCGTGTACTCGCCGCTATGCCGCTGTGGCGACGCCCCTGAGACGGCAGAGCACGTAATCCTCTTTTGCGGGCTGTTGGAAGGACCGAGGGAACGATTACGGGCCGCTATCGCACCGCGGCCACTATACTCTCGCAGAGACCTCGCAACGGCAACAGGAGAACCAGTAGTTAGTGGGACTATTGTAAGGTGGCTGCTAGGGACGGGTCGGACAGCTTCAAGGCCCAGATAGCATCGATCTTTTCAGGGGGGACTGTGTTGGTAGGTTGAGAACCAACGTAGTATGGTAGTGGACGTAACGCAGTCGCCAATAGGGCGAACCGACGACGCAGCGTATGTATTTAGTCCAGCCATTAGGGCACGGTTTGACATACGGGAGTACTAGTAGAGGTACCGGGGGCTTCGAGCCTACGGCGTATTTAATAATAATAATAATAATAATATTAAAGTTACTATTATTACTTCCCCGAATATTATAGCCTCGCGTCCTTAGTAAGTTTAATACTAGAGTTAGCTAGTTTAAGGGAATAGTAGCTAACTACTAAGAAGTCCCCAAGTAGGTTAAATTATAGGATTCTAAAACCCCTATTAGATTTATTAATAAGAAGAGAAGTTCGATACATTTTAAATTTATACTATAATACTCGTATATTCCCTTATTTAATCGGATCTATGAAATTATACTTACTATAAGATATACGGATTATACGAGAGGACAATACTAATCTAAAAGATAGCTAATAAAACCGAAGTTATCGTTATACGAAGCCTTCGAGTCTATTTTCACCCCTAAGAAGGAGTACGATAGTCTATAACCTTTATCTTATCCTAATTAGGATAAGGTAGCTATATATACTATATATAAAAAATATTAAATACACCGTAGGTGTTAACCCTCGCTACCTCGACAGGTACTCCCTTAAGGGGTTCTAGATTATTATTATTATTATTAAATACGCCGTAGCCTCGAAGCCCCCGGTACCTCTACTAGTACTCCCGTGTGTCGAACCGTGCCCTAATGGCTGGACTAAATACATACGCTGCGTCATCGGTTCGCCCCATTGGCGACTGCGTTGCGTTCACTACCATACTACGTTGGTTCTCAACCTACCAACAAAGTCCCCCCTGAGAAGATCGATGCTATCTGGGCCTTGAAGCTGTCCGACCCGTCCCTAGCAGCCACCTTACAATAGTCCCACTAACTACTGGTTCTCCTGTTGCCGTTGCGAGGTCTCTGCGAGAGTATAGTGGCCGCGGTGCGATAGCGGCCCGTAATCGTTCCCTCGGTCCTTCCAACAGCCCGCAAAAGAGGATTACGTGCTCTGCCGTCTCAGGGACGTCGCCACAGCGGCATAGCGGCGAGTACACGCCAAAAGCCCCTGTCTTGAATAAGAAGGCTGCTAGTCCTATTTTTCCGTCCTGATCTGGCACAGCGTAGACGCCTCCAGTCGGTTCAGGCCGAAATACTTGCCTCCTTTCGGTATCTATTTTTCCGGTCCTGATCTGGCATAGAGTAGACGCCTCCGGTCGGTTTAGGTCTGAGTACTTGCCCGGTTTCGGCATTCGCATCGAGGGGCCCTCCTGCTCGTTGGCGATAGCGCGTCGCTGGCGGTCGTGTTGTGCTGCCCCGGAGAGCCATCTCTTCTCCCAGTGGTCTAGAAGGGCGGCCGGGACTTCCTTCGCCTTGCCTATCCACTCAGAGCCCCTAGCCTGCTTCTCCATCGTGTACCTCGCTGGTCTGAGCGATTGTGACGTCCGCTTCCGTTTCGCCGGCGTGTCCTGTCGGAGTATGTGTGACGCTCTCGCGCTCGCGCTCCGAAGCAGGCTACTTTTGCCGTTATTCCGTAGCCGTTCTTCAAATTTCGCCGCCCGGGCACTGAGATATAGGTCTAGTGGCGGGATAGCTGCCTCTATTTCTAGGTGTCGGACCGGTGTCGCTTTATAGGCGCCACAGACTATTCGGAGGCACTCATTCTGTATCCCGACTAGGCTCTTAGCTGGTCCCGCTGGTTCCTCGCTTATAGTGTGCCACGCAGCCGCCCCGAAGGCGATCGCGCTGCGAATAACCGACGTGTACAGTAGTCTCGCCCGTATGAGATCGCAGCCCCACGCCATGTTCACTAGCTTTGTTAGGGCTAGCTTCTGAGTCGCCATTTTTGATTTAACCCGCTCGGTATGGGCGTGCCACGTTAATTTGCGGTCAAACCAGACCCCTAGGAACCTTGCCGAGACCTTCGGCGTTGCTGTAGCGTTTCCAAGACGGATACTCTGCGGGGAGGGGTCTCGGGTTCTAGTGAAGTGCATCAGCTCACTCTTGTCCGGAGCGAACTCCATCCCGTGCCTGGCGGCCCACCGTTGGCACGTAGCCCAAGCGTCCTCTAGTCGGCGGCAGGTCATGCCCGTGTCTGTGCTCACGCTGAGTAGGTTCGTATCGTCCGCGAACCCTACGACTAAGAGTAGGGGGTGTTTCTCCGCTAGTTCCTCATATAGCGTCGAGATATATAGGATAAATAGTATCGGGGAGAGTGACGACCCCTGGGGGACGCCAGCTCGTAGAGGGATCAGCTCTGACTCCTTACCGTCGAACCGGAGGCGTACTGTCCTATCCTCTACGAAGCTGTGTACCCATTCCTGAACCCACTCCGGGTAGCCCTTCCGGGCTAGTATAGAAATCAAACGCCTGTGGTTAAGTGTGTCGAACGCCCCCTTAATATCAAGTTGTAGTAGTGTGGCGATCCCTCCGCGCCTCCAAGCTGTATAGGTTACGTCCTCGACTATACGTATCGCTAATTCGGTGGACCGCCCCTTTCGGTTACCCATTTGGCCGTTTGGTAGCAGACCGGCCGTCTCCGCGACGGTAGTGATACGCTGGCATATCACCGCCTCTATCACCTTCCCTATCGTACTAAGCAGCGCTATCGGTCGCCAGCCGCTAGGGGTCTGCTTTTGGGCTGTCGTTTTGTTCGGCTTAGGGATAACGACTACCTTTGCCGAGCGGAGGCCCTCCGGGTAGTATCCTAGCCTAAAGCTTACGGTCGCTATATCCGCTAGGATCTCCCATAGGGGTTTACCACAGATTTTCAGTAGGCCCGTAGGGATCTGGTCATCGCCGGGGGCCTTCCAAGCCGCTGTCTTCTTGATAACAGCCTCGATGTCCTTCGCGTTTACCTCCTTAGGGACGTCCAGGTCTGGTCTCGTCCGTGGCGGGTTGTGATCGAGATCCGACAGGTCTATATCCAGGTCTGGGAAGAACCTCTCAGCTAGTAGCTTTGACTTCTCGTCGTGGGTGCGCGCTGTGGGTGCATCGCTTGCGTTCCGTCGAAGATCCGGCATCCCATGGGTGTCAGGGGGTGTCCAGCTCCGCAGCCTAGCCCATCTCTGTAATGCCCAAAGGCTTTTATGATCCTTCGCCGTTCTCTCGAGTTTTTCATGCCAGCTCCGCGCCTGTGCCTCGCTGATTTCGAGCGGTTGTTTTTGGTTAGCTCTTAAGTATTCGTCCCAGTTAGTCTGCGACCTCGCGTGGAGGTAATCTCGTCGTCGCCTCTTCGTCTCAGCGCAAGCCTTGCTGACCTGGGGGCACCACCACGGGGTCCCGGCGCCTCTACCAACAGTACGCCTAGGGGCCGCTACGTCGGCGATCTCTTGGAGGTTTTGGATGACCCAATCGACCGCCTGGTCTAGCTCTGTTCTCGTCTCAACCGGCAAATAGTTCATGAATCTCTGGCCCGACTCGGCTACGATTAGCCACTTATCTGCCATCGTCCAATTCCACCCCTCGGTGTTACGGCGGCCTTCATTCGCTGCCTCCTCGTTAGATATTACCCTGATTACTTGCGCCCTATGGTCCGATCCCTCTAGGCCCGGGTCCCCTTCGTAGTCTATTACGGTCCCCTTCGTCGCCCATGCAAGGTCGATAGTTGAGTCCCTTTGTCTGTGTCTTTGCCGTGTAATTTCCCCGAAAGGTGTGGCGAGTTCTAATTGCCACCGTCGCGCAAACTCTATCACATTCTCGCTACCCCGTGACGATCATCCGTGTATGTCCCACAACGGGTGATGTGTGTTGAAGTCCCCTACGAGGACCTGCTTCCCTTCCGGGGCCTCACTAGGGAGGTCCCGGAGCGGGCTAATCCAGCGGCTTCCGGACTGGTTTGGTGAATAGATAGACCAGATGGTAAGGGCATCCGGGCCTGTTCCTAATGTGATACTGCTCCAGTCGGTACCCGTTCGGGGTCGTAGCGAGGCTACATCGTAGCGTTTATGGACGTATAGCGCGGCTCGGCCGCTACTATAGACTGCCTCGTATCTAGACGACCTTGGGCAGTAGATTGACTTCGTCTGTCGATTAATCCATGGCTCTTGTACCGCTATTATATCGTGATCGCCTCCCTTCTCAATCGCTAGCGCTGCGTTCGCTTTTGAATCCGCAATATTCCACTAGAGAATGGAGACTACCATTACGCTGCCGGTGGTATTTCTTCGTTCGTGCATCCCTTAGTAAGGAAGCTTCGCATTGCTGACGCTGAGCGCTCGGTCCGCACTTGCTCCGCCTGTGATCCGCCTGGAGGGCGGCCCCGGGGTCGTACGATCGTAAACCCATCGCTAGTTAACGAGCTAGGTGGAGTGAGCCTGCCTTCGCTAGACAGCCCGTCCGAGTAGCTACGGACCTCAAACTGCCGGGGGCGGTGGGCGTACGCTTCGCATACGCGTAGTCGCTGTTGTTC